TGACTGCAGCTTCCTGTTAATGTTACTAGGGGAGAAGCAGTGATGGCTCAAGTAGTTGGGTTCCTGCCACCAACATGAGACCTGGACTGAGTTCCCAGCTCCTGACTTTAGCCCGGCACCGTCCCAGCTATTGTGGGCATTTGACGAGTAAACCAGAAGATGGGGCACACTCTGGCTCTCTATCAAATACATAAATAAAAATTTAACAAAGAAACAGAAAATAGATAGTTCCAAAAAGTCTGACAGGAAGACCACATGCCTAAAACAAAATGGTAACAACAACAACAAAAAAAAGTGAATCACAGTACTAGAACAATATACAATGAAGAAAGGAAAAGATTCTGGTACAGAAGTGGCAATTATCAACCCTAAAAGCAGAGAAAGAGACCCAGAAGTCAGAAAAGACAGAGCTATAGGTCAGCGTCGTGGTAAAGCATGTTGGGCCACTGCCCGTAACGCCACCATCCCATGAGTCTCATCTGCTCCACTTCTGTCCAGCTCCCTACCAATGCACCTGGAGAGCAGCAGATGATGGCCCAAGTACTTGGGCCTTGTCACCCACATGCAAAACCTGCATAGAGTTCCTGGCTCCTGGCTTTGGCCTGACCCGAGCCTGCTGTTGTGGCCATTTCAGGGATGAAGCAGAGGATGAAAAATTGCTCTCCCTCTCTTTCTCTGCAACTACCTTTCACATAAATAAATAATTCTTTAAAAAAGAAAAGATAGAGTGAATATCACACTAATCCACAGATCACAAGGCAAAGCTAAAAGAGAGAAGGTCAATTTCCTTTCCAACTAAAGATGCAGCACCTAAAACCCATCTTCACTAGCACTTCCAAGTACTTACTCCTTTCCAGATGCATATTACCAAGCTTGTGCAGGTTTAATGTCTGTTCGTCTCATTCTGCATAGTTGTCTGACAATGCTACCTTGAAAGTACAAGTAGCAGGTTGCCCAGGAACCTATATGACAATGGTTCACTGTCGTTGTAGGACAGCCTGGAAGTTAATATCTGATGAATACTTTGTATTTCTAAAGCAGTGTGCATACATTTTCTCAACAGAAATGTTATGATAGATGTATTATCTTTTCTACTCTTTAAATATAGACTCAGAAAAGCATTCAAAAACTTAGATTTGAATCTCAGCTCTGTCACGTACCTGCCGTGTGACCTTGGTCAAAGTGTTTATTCTTTCTCAGCACCAGTAGAGAGATACAGAAAATACTATCTCCAAGGGGGAAATAACATCTACCCTAAACTACATTATGAGTACCAAATATGTTAATTCATGTAAAAACAGCATGACACAGCAAGTGATCAATAAATAGCTGTAGCCTTCCCTGCAGCCTCTTTCAATAATTTGTACAGAATTTCTCAGCTAGTAAGCTGGTAAGCCTAGGACTTAAACTCAGGTCTCCTGTTTCCTTAATCTATCTTTTTCTTACCACACTGCATTGGCAGACTGCCACACACTGCTAGGCCGTAAATATATTCTGGCAATAACTGATCAGAAAATAATTTTTATCTATCAGTAACTTATTTTAACTTTCTAAAACAGGGGGAAAATAGATCTAAGTAACTTGGGGGGGATGCAAGGCAGGGGCTTGGAAAATTAAAATAAAAATTCCAATCAAATAATGGGATAAGCTGTGCTATGGCACTTCTTTACAAACAGAAATTATTATAAGAAGGGCTGGCACTGTAGTGTAGTGGGTGAACCTGCCATCTGTGGTGCCAGTTCAAGTCCTGGCTCCTTCTCTTCCAATCCAGCTCTCTGTTATGGCCTGGGAAAGCAGAAGATGATGGCCTAAAAGTCCTTGGGCCCTTGCACCCACGTGGGAAACCGTGAAGAAGCTCCTGTCTCCTGGCTTCAGATTGGCCCAGCTCTGGCTTTTGCTGCCATTTGGGGAGTGAACCAGCAGATGGGAAGACTTTCTCTCTCTCTCTCTCTCTCTCTCTCTCTCTGCCTCTGCCTCTCTGTAACTCTGCCTTTCGAATAAATAAATATTAAAAAAAGGAAATTATTACAAGAAATTAAAACCTCACTCTGGGTTTAGGAGGAACAGCTGAAGGAAAAAATAAGAACAACTATGATTAAAGAAAGTGAAGTCTGGGGGGCGGGGGGGTTGCTTTTATTTTTTGGTAAACCAAACTACTGAGCAAACCAAAAATTAACTACATGCTATTCCAAAATTACCCCCATTAATGTGAGACATATCTTAGAAAAAGAGAGCTTGGCATGCTAACAACAATTTTTTTTTCTGTAATTTCTTTAAGAGATAAATGGGAAAAGTGATAAACTGTTAACATGCACAGGCACTTGAAGTTCATAAATGTTTGTATCTAGTATTAATAAGCAGCATAGATGATAATATGGCATGATAAAAAGAGTAAAAGTTCCAGGAGTTTCTTAACACATAATGAAAACATTTTATAAATTAAACAAATGCATAAGCTATTACTCTATTAATAAAAGTAACCAACTGTTTTCAAGTGATACACACAACTCTGATCCAGGCCAAGTTCCAGAAGACATTCAAAGATGTTCACATCTCTAATAATCCCAAAGAATTTTCTAATAAGAGAAGAATTCAGTCACATTCTGAACCTGTACACTTCTGGAAGGGAATGCCAGACGAGAGCCTAATCTGACTTCGACAGAACAACTCAAGATTTACCCAATAAGTTAAAAGCTGTGTAAACCATCACAAAGCTGGAGAGAAACTGATGAGAAGCTCCATCTCTGAATCCCCCCTTCCCACCACCAACATCAAATTCTTTGTCTGCCTCAAGGCAACTGAAGTCTCTGCCAACTATATCCTACAGAAACAACAAAATGTTCCCCACATTTCTTCACGACACTCACAGCCATCTCCATTTATTATTTAGCATTCATTAGGAGCCACTGAGATGCTATTTACAATTCTAAATTCTACGCTGAGCCTATTAACTCCCAGTGGACAATGACGATTCCTTCTCTTAAGTTCTTTCCTCTGATAAACATTCTCTTCTGCCATAAAAACTTTTTCAGAGAATACACATTCTTCACCGTAACTTCCCAATCTAAATTCTCCCTAAAGAGGGGCCAGTGGTTCTTCAACAATCCCTGTCTGGAAGCACAGAGGTCCAGGAAACTAGGAAACTGCTCATGATTAAGGACTTTTCATTTAAACCTTGCTGACCTCGCACATAAAATTAAAGAAACAGTATCTTTCTAAAAAGCCTGTGAGAATCTTTTAAAAACTATGCAGGAACATAGACTTGTACAGTTTCCATCCGAGGTCTAGGAATTTGACCAGCTCTCCCTTAAAGACATTCTCCCTCTGGTTCCATACTCTGTGGACACTCATTCCACCCAGAAGGACCTGCAGGCTGATTTATTTTCTCCAACAAAGTAACAAGTTAGGATCTGGACACTGAATCTTATAACAAAATGAATTCGAACATTTAGTCTTCGGGTGTCCAAGCTGGGAGAGAAAAGAGAAACATAATGGAATTTCCAAAACGGTAATCTTCAAAGTAAATATCTCAGAATATTTGAGTGATTTCTACACACTCTTTTTAACTATAGCAGATGAGGCGACTAATCCCCTATTCACATAGGACCGAAATGTTCCTAAAGACACTTTGTGGATTTCCTTTGGAGACTTTCTCAAAAGCAAACCCTCACAGGGCAGGTGTCTAACTTCAAAACGTGGACCATCCTTTGTCAGACCCTAACCGCTTAACGCCCTAGTAGAAAGATTTCCAGAGCAGGCTGAGAGGAGGACTCAGCATCGAACAGCAAGGCAACTGAACAGCAAGCAAAACTATCTATCAAAGAAACAAAAAGTAACTGTCATTGCTACTCTTGCTAAAGTGATACAAACTTTGAAAAACCAGCCGAAAGATCACGTGGTTTCTCAACTTCCCAACCCTCCAGTGATAGAATGTATACTTCCAGAATCACAGGCAACCAAACGACCAATGTGCATAAAATGATAAAATGGGGCGCGGGGCGGGCCGGGGGGTGGGGGACGTGGAGGAGAACGACAGAACTGGCAAACGGCAGAAAGGGACTTAAGGTGCATTTAATGATCTGTCGCGGGCTTGGGGGAAAAATCACGGCACAGAACTCTGCCTCCGACCCAAAAGAGACAAGAACAAGACACTTCGCTCGGAGAGGCCTCCGCCTACTCAAAGGTCCCTTCAAAGGTCGCACGCAGTGGGGGTCCCCAGGGCGACTCGGTCATGACACCCGAAGCCTTAGGAAGGGGAATGGGAGAAGGGCAGGAAAGTCAAGGCGCCGAGAGAGCCCTGTCCGTCCCTGGAAAGCGATTTTGCCCCCACACGCCGGGGCTGCAGACACCCGCCCCAGACCCAACCTCCTCTGCCTCCCGAACCACCTCGGGCAGCCCCAGCATCTCTCGCTCCTTCCGGCTTCTCCCTCAGTTCCGGGCTGCCCTCCGGCCGCGCCCCCGAACGCAGCCGGGCGGCCCTCCTCGGGCCCTGGCCCCGCGGCCCGGCCGCTAGCCCACCCGCCGGCGCCAAGGTCTCCTCAACCCCGCGACAAGAAGGATGCCGGGCCGGGCCTCCCAGGCTCCTCCCGGGCCTACCTGTAAGGCGGGCAGGGGCTCGATTTGTTGCCCGGCGGACGGGCTGAGCTACAGAGAGAAGGAAGTATGAAGCGGGAAGGAAGAAAGGGGTCCGATCTACGGACCGGCGGGAGAAGGCGACCTGCGCCCGCGGCCTCGCGGATAACTCAGCCCCCGACCTGGCGCCGCCGCCGCTCAGGAGACATCAAGCAAGAAGACGGCGCAAAAGATCACCGAATGCACGAACGCCTCAGACATCAAAGGAAGAGCGTGCGAGCAATCGTTCAAGGCACTAGAGCCGAGCGCCGAAAAACAGCTCGACTCCAATTCAAGGTCCGGCTCCTGTCCAAGGCATAAATAAACAAACTCAGATCCTAAGCCGCGGAGAAAAGTAGCCCACGCTTCTGCCATTTTCTGACGGTTACCGGCTGTTTACGTTTAGAGAACTGGAGTTCTTCGTGTGTTGAAGATCAAATCATAACGCAGTAACACTTGTCTTGACTATAGTTCAGCGACTTCCTTATGGACTCCCAACACTGTCCCCATTGATCAAATCCCTAAACCTCTTTAACCCGTAGTCTCCTCACAAAACAGCGAGGCGAATCAAAGAGGGAGGCAGAAACAGAACCAGAGGGAATCCAGACTGAGAAACAAAGTAAACAATCCCTACTAATGCTACAAGTTAACCAACGGAAGCTGGGAAAACCCAGGGTCACGCATGCTGACCTCTGGGTGGGGGGAGGGCGCAGTTTACGGTGTACTTTATTATTTTTACAAAAGCCTAGGACCACGAATGTGCTGCTTACATCATGATCAAAAGTCTGAGTACAGAACCTGCTAAGATGCGCTGCCATGTTCATCACCACACTATGGCTTCCTTCTGAAGTCTCTTGGTATACAGATGGATAGACGCGGCACAAATATGAATTAGTAAGGATATGCTAGGTACAATTCAGTCACTCACAGAGGTCACTGGAATGTGCATTTCCAAGAGTGAGCAACCAGTCTCCCCTACGTCCTAAGGAGGAGACTTGGAGAGAAGATGGGTATGAAAATGAAATAAGACAGTGCTAGCCCTTCAAAAGTTTATGCTCCAATGAAGGCAAAGAGCACATCTTAACATACCTTGTTCAGCTCATTCTTTTTCATCTCCTGTATGTCAGTGAAAATATTTAAGGAATAATTTACACACATGATGCTGCATAGGACTAGAATCCACAATTCACCATGTATGTGGATTAGACATGGGACTTTTGTTGTCTACCACTGTTTTAAGGAACTTACTAAAGTGAATAAACAAGAGGGTAGCTTCGTGGTGCAGCAGATTAAGCTTCCTCCTGCTGTGCCAGCATCCCATGCTCTGTTTCCAATTCAGCGTCTGTTAATGTACCTGGGAAAGCAGTGGGTGACAGCCTAAGTACTTGGGTACCTGCCACCACGTGGGAGAGCTGGATGGAGTTCTTGGCTCCTGGACACAGACTGACCCAGTCCTAGTAGTTGCATCCATTTGGGGAGTAAACCAGCAGATGGAAAATCTCTCCTCTCTCTCTAACTTTGCCTTTTAAACAAATAATAATAATAATAATAATAAAAAGAACAAACAGGTGGAGGTGTTGGGTACAGTGGTTAAATTATCACTTGGGATGCAGGCATCCCATTTGTGAGTACCTGGTTCAAACCTCAGTTCCTGATCTTTGGATCCAGCTTCCTGCTAATGCATACATAGCCTGGGAGGCCACAGATGATGCTCAAGTACTTGGGCCCCTGCCACCCATGTGGGAAATGGGAATGGACTTCCTGGCTCCTGGCTTCACCCTGGCCCAGGCCTGGCTGTTGCAAACATTTGGGCAGTGAACCAGCAGATGGACAATCTCTGTCTCTCTGCCTTTCAAATAAAATGAAATAGATAAACAGTTGGGAGTTCCCTTTCAGAAAAAAAAAAATACCTTAAATGAACAAACATTGTACCAACATTTATGAAAGTCTTTAAAAAACCTTGAAAATATGCTTCTAAATCACAAAATTTAATTTGATGATGTAGTTGTATCACAATGTATCCCTATTAAAGTCCTTAATCATGGTAGTTGTTTTTTTGGAGATACACAAAGAGAGACAGAGAGCTCCCATCCACTGCTTCAACTCCCCAAATGTCCACAATGAAGCCAGGAGCCAGGAACTCAATCCCAGTCTCCCATGTGGGTAACAAGGACCCAACTATTTAAGCCATCACTGCTACCTCCTGGTGTTCGAATCAGCCATGAAGCAGGAAACAGGAGCCAGAGCTGGGTATTAAATCCAGGTACCCCATATGCTGCACAGGTGTTCCAACTGGAAGCTTAACTATTGGGCCACACTCCTGCCTCAACAGTTGTTATTTTTAACGATTGCCCAATATTCCATTGAGGGGATATATTGACTATGCTCCCCATTGTTGAATATGTTTGTTGCTTCTAAACATTTCCTGTGTAATAGGTATTACTGCTCTTGGAGACAGGCAGTTATAACATTATTTATGATTAGGTCTTATTGCACATGAGCTAACAAAAAGAATACTGAACCAAGGTACAGGTTTAGTTCTCTGCCATGTAAAAGAAATCCAGCAATACGCAGTCCAGTGTAAGATGTGGCTGTCAGTGTCAGGGACCTGCCATCTTCTGTCTTGTTGCTTTGCATCTTCAATAAGTGGTCTTCACCTAAGATCCAAGACGACTGCTCAAGCTCCAGCCATCACATCCACATTCCAGCTACCAAAGCTGACAAAGTACGTCTTTGTCGAAAGAGAAAGGTACGTCTTTGTACAAAGAGAGAAGTACGTCTCCTAGCCATGAGGACACATCTTGAAAACAGCACAGGGCATTTCCACCCACTGAAAATTCCACTGTCTACAATTTAGTCACAAAGCCACACCTAACTTCAAGAGAAACTGGGAACTAGTCTTTATCCTGGGCAGACATATTCCCTCTAAAAGGCAATGGCAACTGGATCCCAGGTGACAACAGCAGTCTGCTACATTCCTGGAGCTACGTGAATGGGGGGGGGGGGGGGCGTTCCCTTGCTGCTTCTCAGAGCTGAGTTTACACTCCTACAACAGAACGCGCTGCGGGAGCTTCCTTCTTGAAGAGGCTTGCGCCAAGTAGTGTCTAGAGCCGTAGCCCTCACTGAAACTTGACCCAAATAATTACATTATTTTGAAACCTTGACTGCAGTGGGGGGAGAAAAAAAAGCTAAAGAAACTAATTTCAAGGTTACCAGACATTGTCAGTTTTTCAAAAGCTGGAGACTTATATTGTGAGAAAAACATTTGAGAATGATGCAAATATTCATCAAAAATTGTCACCAGAAATGGAAATATTTGAGAAGCTGAAGCCAGACTGCTCCATAAGACGGACTGTAGAAAAGATGGTTTATTCTACAGGCAGTAGTTTATCTCTACAGATGTATTTCCTTTAAAGAATTCTTTTTGGTTTTGTTTTTTTCACATTCAGTATGTATATATATAACAGGCAGAGAGACACAGACAGGGACAGACAGGGAGAGATTCATTCACTGGTTCACGCTCCAAATGCCCTCAACAACCGGGCCTGGGCCAGGTCAAAGTCAGAAGGCAGGAACTGCATTTGGGTCTCTCACATGGGTAGTGGGGTCCCCACCACTGGATTCGTTACTGCCCCCAGAGTGCTGGAATCAGCAGCAGAGTTATGATTCAAACCCAGAAACTCTGACTGGGACATGGGTGTCCCAAGCAACGTTTTGGCCACTGTGCCAAACACCCTACCACCACCACCACACATTGTTTCCTTTTGGAATTAATTTAAGATTCAGTGTGACAGCGATCGATTGCTCTTTCTTATGCATTTAGACTGAAGACTGGATCACAAAGGTGAGGAGTTGAAACGCTCAGACTCACAGGCATCTCCTCACACTGGAGGAAGACGTGTGAAAATGAATCCAGGCAAGCAAAAGCAAAGGCCGCCTTGACTGTGCTGCTGCCGCCCTGCCCACTGGTGTGGAGTCGGTCACTCACTGTGGAGGTGACCGCTGGTCACTGTATTCTGGCGGCGTTCTCCTAGAGGAGCCACCTCACTGAAGAAGTGCTTCCTGCGAAGGAGTATGACCAATGGGCCTGGCTTGCCCAGGGCTCAGGGATTTCCCAGGATATGGGACTTTCACGACCAACATGTGGCAGCTCTGTGCAAACCAGGGGGTTGGTCGCCCTAACTATGGTCCCTGTCGCACTCAGTCACATCGAAAGAAGGTGGAAAGGCTAAACAGGTCAGAGAGGACTGAGGCGTACGGGCTGGGAGAGAGGAGATGGGGGCGAAGACTGTTGCTTATCCTGGCTCTGGGCTCTGAGAAATGTGCCTCTGCTCTGCCATACTCTGGATGGTGGAAATCAGGTTTGAACCTAGCGAGGGAGCTCTGCAGCAGCACTGGCAGCGTCCAGTGGGAAGGCCAAGAAGAGGGCGTAGGCCTCGAGCAGCCAAAATGGTGAGCCAGTGGAGATTTTGCTGTCGCAACTCTATTCTGTTCTTTTGAACCTGTTCTCATCGTGCTGGTGTTCCAGGGTCATTGTTCACACTCCGGGGGGAATGGTAAAGGTAGAAGCAGTCTAGCAGTGTAGAAGTCCAGGGAATGGGAGAGACCCCAGAGGGCAGGAAACCTCTGGCAGTAGAATATGAATGAGGCTCTTCCTTCATTGGAATTATTTACATAGGATAGCTTTCCAGTGATAGCTATTAGTAGACTGAAATGTATGAACATCTTGAGGCTCTACAATCACACACACACAAAATTAGCCCTTCTGGCTGGCGCCGCGGCTCAATAGGTTAATCCTCTGCCTTCGGCGCCGGCACACCGGGTTCTAGTCCCGGTCGGGGCACCGGATTCTGTCCTGGTTGCCCCTCTTCCTGTCCAGCTCTCTGCTGTGGCCAGGGAGTGCAGTGGAGGATGGCCCAAGTGCTTGGGTCCTGCACCCCATGGGAGACCAGGAGAAGTACCTGGCTCCTGCCTTCGGATCAGTGCGGTGCGCTGGCCACAGCGTGCCAGCTGCGGCGGCCATTTGAGGGTGAACCAACAGCAAAGGAAGACCTTTCTCTCTCTGTCTCTCTTTCACTGTCCACTCTGCCTGTCAAAAAAAAAAAAAAAATTAGCCCTTCTATTTAAAAAACAAAGAAAGCAGTTTCTGTAAGGCTTAGGGAAACAACATTTCAACAGACTGATAGATCCTCAATGTCTTGCTGGGCAAACATGGAGACACCTCACTGAAATTTGTTCAGCTCAACAGTCTGAAATTTGCTAACTTAGGGGCAGGCACTGTGGCATGGCAGGCTAAGCCTCAGCGTGCAGCACCGGCATCCCATGTGGGCTCCCATTTTCTGGCTGCTCCTCTTCCGATCCAGCTCTCCGCTAATGGCCAGGAAAAGCTGTGGAAGATGGCCCACGTGTTTGGGCTCCTGTACCCACGTGGGAGACCCAGAAGCAGTTCCTGGCTCTTGGCTTTGGATCGGCTCAGCCATGAATTTTACGTTAGGAAACCAGCCTTCGACTAGTATTTTCCTTTCCTTCCTGCATTCCCATTGTTACAATCAATACAACCTTTTTTTTTTTTTTTTTTTTTTTTAAGGTAAACAGAGAGCGAGAGCCAGAGCAAGAGAGAGAATCTCTAATGGTTCAGTCTTGAAATGCCTGCAACATGCCCAAGGCTGGACCAGGCCAAAGCCAGAACCCTATTCAATCTGGATCTCCTAGGTTTGTGGCAGAGATTCAAGTACTTGAGCCATCATCTGCTGCCTCCCAGCGTGCACATTAGCAGGAAATTGGAATGGAAAAAAGAGCTGGGACTCAAGCCAGACATTCTAATATGGGATGTAAGTTTCCTAAGCAGTGACTTATCAACTGCACTAAATGCCTACCTCCTGGAATCAATAAGAATGCTAATTCTAAGTCTGCAACCTTTTGTAGTCCCATTTTTATAAAATCGTGGTGGGACCTAGAAAACAAAATGGGCCCTGAAGACATGTGAGTGCACAATTCTAAGACCCTGTCATTCCTTGTCTCTTTGTCCTCCGCTTACTTCCTCCTCCATTGCAAAGTGCAGTCTCTGAGCTCTTTCCAGTTTGTTTCGGCTATTGAAAAAATTCTTTATTATCTGTCTAGCCCTTATTTCACCCTTACCCCCTCTCTCTTACTTTATGATTTTATATCTTTACTATATAAGCTCCTTAAAGTTGTGGTATTTTTGGTCCTAAATTAGATTAACTTGCTAAAGATCCTTTACAGCCTAAGGGTCAGGAAAGGAGCTCCAGCCTTGGTCAGTTAATTTAAGCCAAGAATATGTTGATGGAATTGGCAAACTGGTGATGAACCAGTACCTGTGTTGGTAGGTACCTTGCTATATCCTGGGTGCTTGCTGTCTGAAACATCGGAGAGCAAATCTGGAAATCCTACGCTGCCAGATGGAGTTATCCACACAGGAAGAGGAGGCTTACATAAGACTGGCAAAATCCTTGACTCTTTCCCAAACCATGCCAGGAAGAGACTATAAATCCATGCTAACACCTCTTCTCAGACCCTAAATAAAAAGCCCCTGTGAGCACACCCGCGGCAACTGAGAAGCGCAAACCCTCATCCTTCCCCTAGGTCATTTTAGGGATAGTGTAACCAGGGACTGAGAAAGAAAAAAAATGCCAACTTGTAAAAAACCCAGGTTGTAAGGATATTAAACGAATGAGCAGTTTCCTTGTGGAATCGTTAGGAAATAAGACACCTCCAGGAAAAGCAAAGCCAGCCAACATTCGGTAAGATTGGCACATAGAGATCATCGTCAGTGTGCAAGTAAACAGGCTGGAAACTGCATGCGAAATGTCTCCAAGACTATCCCTCCCACTCAGCCTCCATGTCACCATCTACTAAGTTGTGAAAAAGCCCCATTTTCCTTACATGCAGTTATGCAAGGCTAAAATATGAGGCACTTTCCATGATCACACTTTGTCACTATGATACGTGGTTGGCAGAAACCCTTTCCTGATGCAATATGCGTGATCGAGCCAAAACTTGATGGGTAAAATACCCTTCAGTGGAGACTTAAATGGGGGAGACCATGAGAGTTAAAATGTTGCCTTATGAGGGAGATGGACCAAACTAGGGTTGCAAGTTAAACTTTACAAAGGAATAAGGATGGGCCGGCGCCGCGGCTCACTAGGCTAATCCTCCGCCTTGCGGCGCCGGCACACCGGGTTCTAGTCCCGGTCGGGGCGCCGGATTCTGTCCCGGTTGTCCCTCTTCCAGGCCAGCCCTCTGCTGTGGCCAGGGAGTGCAGTGGAGGATGGCCCAGGTGCTTGGGCCCTGCACCCCATGGGAGACCAGGAAAAGCACCTGGCTCCTGGCTCCTGCCATCGGATCAGCGCGGTGCGCCGGCCGCAGCGCGCCGGCCGCGGCGGCCATTGGAGGGTGAACCAACGGCAAAGGAAGACCTTTCTCTCTGTCTCTCTCTCTCACTGTCCACTCTGCCTGTCAAAAAAATAAAAATAAAAAAAATAAAAAAATAAAAAAAAAAAATAAAAAAAAAAATAAAAAAAAAATAAAAAAAAAAATAAAAAAAAAAATAAAAAAAAAAAAATTTAAAAAAAAAAAAAAAAAAAAAACAAAGGAATAAGGATGTAACAGGGCATCCCTATGGCACAACGAATACGGCGCCACTTCCCAGTCAACCCTCTGCTGTCCACGCCCAGCTCAATGATAGCCCTGTACCTATTAGGCATAAGCTCTTACCATGGATCCCCTCTGCAGAGTAGGGAAATGACAGGAAATAGCATTTGGAGTGGAAATAAACAGCAGATAATAATCCATAATTGTTTTTAATCTTGAGAATGAGTCACCCTCGATTTATTTCAAAATTTCTTGTATCATCAGCTGTTCATTTCTTTCCTTTGAAAATCACCAGATTAACACTGCCAAAGGCAGGTAGGAAACGATCCAAAAGGACAATTCAGAGGTACCACATGGTGAGTGGCTGAGAAACCAGCAGCAAAACAAGCCTGAGGAAAGTGCCTTTTTTGTCCCAGCAAAGACACCAATGTGTGAACCTAATTCACACTTTCATTATTCCAATTAGGTTATTTTTTAACCTTTTTTTTTTTAGATTTATTTATTTATTTGAAAGGCAGAGTTACACAGAGGCAGAGGCAGAGGCAGAGGCAGAGGATCTTCCATCTGCTGGTTCACTCCCCAGTTGGCTGCAATGGCCAGAGCTGGGCCGATCCAAAGCCAGGAGCCAGGAGTATCTTCCGGGTCTCCCACACTGGTGCAGGGGCCCAAGTCCTTGGGCCATCCTCCACTGTTTTCCCAGGCCATAGCAGAGCTGGATTGGAAGCAGAGCAGCCGGGTCTTGAACTGGTACCCATATAGGATGCTGGCACTGCAGGTGGTGGCTTTACCTGCTATGCCACAGCACCAGCCCCCAATTAAGTTATTTTCACATCACTGTAATTTTAGAACAAGACTTGCTAGGGAATTACTTATTTCCTGAGACATTCTGTCCATCACTGCATATAAGATATCCAATGTCCAACTCCAGAATTATTTTCAAACCCAGAAATCACATTCCTTTTACCTCTCCTTTTTTAATACTTCCACATGCCTATTTCATTCAATAAATCTTCCTCTGTACAAAGAATTTCAAAACAAAATGACCAAACAAGCATTCTAACATCCTAAGAAACGTGCACTAGTTAGATGTGAGCTATCTAACCCTGGGAGAATTTCCTTTGCCCATCAATCTATCGGGGTCTTTATACTCTCTATGAAGTATCAGTCTTGCTAATTTATGTTTGAATTGTCATGTGTAAGCTAATTTGATTCTTCAGCCCATTTAGCCTCTAACTCTGACTCAGTTTTAGAAATGGGGGACGGAATTCAGATGTGCCTGCTAGGAACTAAGTCTAAATCCAATTATTGCAGACAGTCAAAAGTGGAAGTTTTAGACTTTCTTTAACAGCATCTCAAAAGCAAAAACAGGGAGTGTGCATTTGGCCTGGAGTACCTGGGTTCAATACCCGGCTCCGGCTCCTGATTCCAGCACCCAGCTAACGTGGAGCCTGGGAGGCAGTGGTGGTGGCCCAAGTAATTGAGTTCTTGCCACGCATGTGGGAGACCTCGACTGAGTTCCTAGTTCCCAGCTTCAGTCCAGCCTAGTCCCAGCTTTGCAGGCACTCGGAAAGTGGACCAGCAAATGGGAGCTCTGTGTGTGTCTCTGCCTCTTAAAATAAATACTTTTTAAAAAAGGAAAAAACACAAAGCTGCAAACCCAGATTAGTAGCCACTGACTTACGTCAAAAGAGCATTTCCTGACTTAAATTCACTCTTCACATTTGTCTCAGATTATGCCATAAAGTAGAAAAACTAAAATATACTCAGACTGGGACAAATGCTGCTTTCATTTGAAATCCCTAGATAACTGAAACTCAAAAAATATTTTGGCTGTATCCTATTTTCCCTTTTTCTGTGACTTTGCTGGCATAATTGTAAATGCTTGTAACCAGTAAGCTTTCAACTGAGTGGAGCTCGAGCTGGAGTTCACTGGATAGTACAGGACTGCTGTCTTGGTTTTAGTTTAGTTAATATATGTGCAACTGACTCACAATAGTCTGGCATGGACCCACCCCTTCTAAAACACAGATTAAACGTCAGTGTATCCCAAGTAGGTCATGGCACCACGTCAAGGGTGGTGAGGGGGGAAATCCGTCACAACTCCTGGAAAGTCTTCCTTCTCCCTACCTTCCACCACATTAACTAAAATGAGCAAGCATCAGCTCCTGTCGGATACGGTCAGCCTCTAAGTCCAGGGACTCCATGTGCTCAAACTCTTCCTCAGGGGGCTGGTCTACGGGTCCTGTCATTGGAGAGGACCAAATGTCCATCCCGTGCTCCAGGGAGATGTTGTGGAGGACACAGCAAGCCAGGATGATATGACTGGACTTCTCTGGAGAGTACTGCAGTGCCCCCTTGGATCCGTCCAGGCAGCGGAATCGGGAGCAGAGGGTTCGGAACGTCTTCTCGATAACACTGTGCGTTGCGGAATGGGCCATGTTGTAGCGATATTCAGCTGGAGTTTCAGGAATGTGAAGCGGGGTCATGAGCCAAGTGCGGAGAAAGAAGGAGCTGTCACCTGTGGGAGAAGGCCCAAAGGAAATAGAAGTGATTCTAATTGGAAAACAAACAAGAAGTGATATTTAGAAACACACATTTACATTTAAAGTGATATTTTAAAGCACATATAAGAAAATACAATGGCCTCTGGAGCCAAATCACACAGAAAAATGAACAGGTCAATGCTGGGGTAAAAAGCAAACCTGCCAATGTCATGAACAGGAAGTCTTGTGTCTCTCCTGAGAATATCCTTAGTTAAAACCAAGGAGGGGTGGGAGGGCAGCAGTGTTGTGGCTCAGCAGGTTAAACCCACAGCCTGTAGCCCCCAGCATCTCATACGCACACTAGTTCAAGTCTGGCTGCTCCACTTCAGATCCAGCTCCCTGCTAATGTGCCTGGGAAGGCAGCATAGGATAACCCTAGTCTTTGGGCCCATAAACCTCCTGGCTTCAGCCTGGCCTAGCCCTAGCTGTTGTAGCCATCTGGGGAGTGAACCAGTAAATGGAAGATCTGGCTCTCTCTCTCTGTAGCTCTGCCTTTTAAATAAATGACTATTTAAAAATAAATAAATAAAACAGGGGCCAGTGCTGTGGTATAGCGGGTTAAACCTCCACCTGCCAGCATCCCATATGCATGCCACCAGCATCCCATATATATGCTGATTCGAGTCCTGGCTGTTCCACTTCCAATCCTGCTCCCTGCTAATGTGCCTAGGAAAGCAACAGAGGATATCCCAAGTCCTTGGTCCCCTGTGCCCACATGGGAGACCGGGAAGAAGCACCTGGGTTTGGCCTGGCTGTTGCAGCCATTTAGGGAGTGAACCAGCCTCTCTCCCTGCCCTGAGTAAATCTGACTTTCAAATCAATCAATCAATATTTTAAAATAAATAAATAAATGAAAAACCCAACACAGGGAAAAGCTGATAGCTAAAGAAAGCCAAATATGAAAGAATGTAGAAGGAGATGAAGGCATTGGAGGCAATAAAATTCCTGGATTTTCCAAATTCAGATTATTCAATAAAAGGCAAAATAACAACTATCAAATAGCATGCCAATCTTCAGTATCTCTAAAGAGCAAGAGTGTAAGAGAGAAAAAAGAATTCTCCCAGGAAATCCCAAAAACATTTCCAACTTTACCACTAAAATTTCAGGTCTCTGCAGACTGGGTGTTTGGCATCAAACTTAAGATGCCACTTGGGATGCCCATACCCCATTTCAGAGTGCCTGGTAGTTCTAGTCCCAGCTCCTCTGCTTCTGGAACCACCTCCCTGCTAACTACACCCTAGGAGGGCAGCAGATGATGGCTCCAATATTTGGATCCCTGCCACCCACGCAGGAGACCCTGAGTGTATTCTGGGCTCCTGGCTTCAGTCTGGCCCAGCCCTGGCTGCTGCAGGCATTTGGGGAATCAGCCAGTGGATGAAGAGCTCACTCTTGCTCTCTCTGTTTCTCTGCCTTTCAAATTAAAAAGAGAAAGAGAAAAATACATTTTAAAAATAAAATAAAGTTCCAGGTCTGAAAGCATTTCCTAGGGATTTTAGAGTATTTCATGGATATTAATAATTTATCTCCAGGGGTGAGGAGACTAAAAGTCCCTATATTTTTGGGAGAAATCAAAACCCAGTTGTTCTGCCTTTCTAAACACTACAGTCACTAGAACCAAGCCTCTGTAACAGAGGAACTGAAAGAATTTTACATTAACAAGGGGAACATAAACATAATGAAGCAAACAGTAATAGCAATAAGGAAATGAAATCAGAAGTCAATTAAAATAATACACACAAGTCACCTTACATCACCTCCTTATCCAATAATCCTGGGAAGTGCTAACAAAAACAAACAAAACTGGTTTGCAGTGTCCTAATACAGCAGCACAATGTTTCTATAATGTTTAATTGTCCTGACTCACCAGGCCTGGCAGATACAATGTCTCACACAGAGGCAAGAGCTCCTAGAAATTTGAGACAATTAGGCTCTAGAGTACCAACTTGCACAATTACTGTGCTCCTGACCCACCATCAATTTTGGTAAATAGTTCCAGACTGTTCAGACAGTGCCAGGCACTGTTCCAAACATATGGGACTCCTTTCTTTAGGAGCTTGCATTTCAGAAACTAGATTAGCTGTAAATACTGAAGAAACGTCAGAAGACTTTCAAAATTTATATTTAGCTGACTCTTTGTTCTTCTAAATATAAGCTAATCTTTTAATTGAACTCATGCCAACTAAATCCTGAATTTAGGAAACTGATGCTGTAAACACTAGGAAAAATAATACCTATGACTCAGTGAGCACCTACTATGTAGCAGAAACTGTGCTAGCACTTCAAAAATAACTCTTATTATCCAATCCCAATTCTGCCACGTTAGATATTAAACTCATTTTGCAAATGAGAAGATCAAAATATATGTCAGCCACCCTTTAATATATCAGGCAAAGGAAGGAGATTAGTCACCAAATGCTAATGTCAGACTCAGAGTCATAAAACAATGGTTTAAGGCTGTAAATGAGAATAGGGTAAACACCTAAGGTGAATGCTAAACACAGAGCTACTGTTTGTGAATGTTTCTCCAAGAAACAGTACGCGTCTTCAGTGGGGAGAGAGATGCAGGACCAGCTAGTTAATGCAGACCTTTTTGTAAAATGTTCCACCGTCTTTAACTGGTTATAATCCAAGCATCGCTGAGAAACAGACACTCAGGAGGGGATTAGGATCAGAATTGCTAAACAGATTACAATTGCTTATATGATCAGTCATCCACAAGACATTCTGGCAGATCTTAGCCAAAGCTGCTTAACAGGACCAGGCCAAGAGATGAAGAGCTAAAAACTCCAGCTGCAATGTTCACAGGAGCAGGTATATTTAGAGGGGAATTTAGGTAACACAGTCTGAAGGGATGAGCAGATGAGAGTAAGGAGCAGAGGAAGGGATGACACCAGGCGAAAACATGCGAAGGGGTCACAGTTCTAGACTTGATACATCTGGAGCTATTCCATTATCAGATGGTGTTCTTGAGATACAATTCATTATGTAATCTCCGTCTCTGACTCTCTCTCTCTCTAACATAAAGGAAGGTAGCACTTCTGCCTTCTGGGTTCCTGCCACCCACATGGGAGACCCAGATGGAGTTTCATGTTCCTAGCTTTGGGCTGTTGCCGGGATCTGGGGAGTGAACCAGTGGATGGGAGACGTCTCTCTGTCTATCACCATCTTTCAAATAAGTAAAATAATTAGAGTAATTACCCAGATGATTCTTTGGACTTTGAAAATTTGTGAAAAACTACACTAATCAGGCCGGCGCCGTGCCTCACTAGGCTAATCCTCCGCCTTGTGGTGCCGGCACACCGGGTTCTAGTCCCGGTCGGGGCGCCGGATTCTGTCCCGGTTTCCCTTCTGCTGTGGCCTGGGAGTGCAGTGGAGGATGGCCCAAGTGCTTGGGCCCTGCACCCCACGGGAGACCAGGAGAAGCACCTGGCTCCTGCCATCGGATCAGCGCGGTGCGCTGGCCGCAGTGCGCTGGCTGCGGCGGCCATTGGAGGGTGAACCAACGGCAAAAGGAAGATCTTTCTCTCTGTCTCTCTCTCTCACTGTCCACTCTGCCTGTCAAAAAAAAAAAACAAAACAAAACAAAACACTACACTAATCAGAGACTTTCACATTAGTTTTTCCTGTTAGAGCTCATGCAGACTTTCAAACAGGACTGGCTGCACCAGAACTGAAGAGTACCAAGGGATTCAATTTTCACAACTTTCAGGGCCAGCATTGTGGTGCAGCCCATAAAGCCGCCACCTATGATGCTAGCATTCAATATGGGCACCGGATCAAGTACTGGCTGTTCCACTTCCCATGCAGCTCCCTGTTAAGGGCCTGGGAAAAGCAGAGGAAGATGGCCCAAGTACTTGGGCCCCTACATCCACACAAGAGACTCGCAAGAAGTTCCTGGCTCCTGGCTTTAGTCTGGCTCACCTTTGGCCATTGCAGCCATCTGGGGAGTGAACCAGCAGATGGCAGATTCTCTCTCGTTCTCGCTGTGTGTGTGTGTGTGTGTGTGCGCACATGCGCGCATTTCCCTCTCTCCACAACTCTTTCAAATAAATAAATAAATCTAAAAAAAAAAAAAAGAAAAAGAAAAAGAAAGAAAGAAAGACAGGTCTGTGGGGAAGCAACCCGGACTAGACTGAGTTACTGGAATTAAGACTTATTTTATGCATCTGCTCTCCCACAATATGGCGCTGGGAGAGGAGAAAACAGCTTCTACGCAGCTGCCTCCAGTTCAACCAATAAACTGTAGGACCTGCTCCTGATTGGAGGAGAGCAGCGTACTCGGCGTGTGGGCAGCCGAGTTAGGATTGGCGGAGGAGGACTATAAAGGAGGAGAGAGACGGCATTCACGGGGAACATCTAAGGGGAACATCTGAAGGAACACCTGTGCAGCCCCCGAGAAAGCCGGCCGGTGGTGTGCCGCTCCCCTGCGGAAGTGGGGAATGTGGCCAGGGGGAACTGCCCTTCCACGGAGGTGGAAGGGATAGTAGCCAACCCGGGAAGAACCAGCAGCAAACCCGGGAAGGGCCGAGCAGACGAAAGAACAGCGCAGGGTCCTGTGTCGTTCCTCCACGAAGAGGGGGAGCGACACAGGTCAGGGCTGGCGGTGTGGTGTAGCAGGTAAAACCATGGCCTGCAGTGCTGGCATCCCATATGGGCGCTGGTTTGAATCCTGGTTGCTCCTCTTCTGACCCAGCTCTCTGCTAATGGCCAGGGAAGGCAGTGGAAGATGGCCTAAGAGCTTGGGCCCCTACAACTGCATGGGAGACCCAGAAGAGGCTCCTGGCTCCTGGCTTCGGATCATCCCGGGTCTGGCCATTGTGGTAGTTTGGGGGAGTGAATCAGTGGATGGAAGATCTCTCTGCCTCTTCCTCTCTCTGACTCAGCCTTTCAAATAGATAGATCTTTAACAAAATAAATAAATACAAGCTTTACAACTTCAATTTCTAGGGATACACCTTCCTAGTTTAGTTAGGGTCTCTCACTAGACCAGGTATCAAAATTAGCCTAATTAAACATCAGTTAAACATTGCTGAAATAAACATCTCTCCACTCTGTGCAGAGAGGGGAATCAGAAAAGTACATAAAAATTTGCCAGAGTTTTTCTGATTGTCAACTATGCAAATAATGCAAAGAAACTACTTCAAAGTGAGGCCGGCTGGGCCAGCGTTGTGGCATAGCGGGTAAAGCCACCGCCTGCAGTACCAGAATCCCATATGGGCTCCAGTTCTAGAACTGGCTGGTCCACTTCCAATCCAGCTCCCTGCTATGGCCTGGGAAAGCAGTAGAAGATGGCCCAAGTCCTTGGGCCCTTGCACCCACATGGGAGACCCGGGAAAAGCTCCTGGCTTCGGATCGGCTCAGTTCTGGCCATTGCAGCCAACTGGGAAGTGAACCAGCACCTGGAATTCCTCTCTGTCTCTACCTCTCTTTGTAACTCTGCCTTTCAAATAAATAAAAATAAATCTTTAAAAAAATAAATAAAGTAAGGCCAGCACTGTGACATAGTAGGGTAATCCTCCTCCTGTGGCATAGTGGGTTAATTTTCCACCTGCAGTGCCGGCATCCCATATGCCTGCCGGTTCCAGTCCCAGCTGCTCTACCTCCAATCCAGCTCCCTGCTAATAGCCTGGGAAAGCAGTGGCCACTACAGCCATCTGGGGAGTGAACCAGCAGATAGAAGATTTCTCTCTCTTTCTCTCTTTTCTCTCCTCTCCTCTCTCTGTAACTGTGACTTTCAAATAAAAAAAAAATCTTTTAAAAAAAAATCACTGAGCAAAGACTTTTAAGATTGATTGATTGATTTCAAAGTCAGAGTCAGAGAGGGGCAGAGAGTGCCATCTGCTCGTTCACTCCCCAGATGGCCACAATGGCTGGGGCCAGGCCATGCTGATACCAGGAGTCAAGAGCCTCCTCCAGGACTCCCACATGGGTACAGGGGTCCAAGCACTTGGGCCACCTTCCACTGCTTTTCCTAGGCCGTTAGCAGCGAGCTGAATTGGAAGTGGAGCAGCTGGGACTTGAACCAACAGCCATTTGGAATGCCAGCATCGCAGGCAGTGGCTTTACCCACTATACCACAACACCAAACCCTGGGAAATTTCTTTTTAATGTTTCAGAAAGTATGTTAAAGAGTATGTTTTTTTTTTTTTTTATCTTTTATTTAATGAATATAAATTTCCAAAGTACGACTCATGGGTTACAATGGCTTTCCCCCCCATACCGTCCCTCCCATCCACAACCCTCCCCTTTCCCACTCCCTCTCCCCTTCCATTCACATCAAGATTAATTTTCGATTATCTTAATATACAGAAGATCAGCTTAGTATACCTTAAGTAAGGATTTCAACAGTTTGTTCCCACACAGAAACATAAAGTGAAAAATAATAGATGATTTTTTTTTAAATCATGATGAAATCAGATCAGACCTATTGTCATGTTTAATCCCAGTGAGAGTCAAGTTGGGAATTGATAATTTCTTTTTTTTTTTTTTTTTTTACAGAAGATCAGTTTAGTGTACATTAAGTAAAGATTTCAATCGTTTGCACCCCCATAGAAACACAAAGTGAAATATACTGTTTGAGTACTCGTTATAGCATTAAGCCTCAGTGTACAGCACATTAAGGACAGAGATCCTACATGAGGAGTAAGTGCACAGTGACTCCTGTTGTTGACTTTACAAATTGACACTCCTGTTTATGGCATCAATAATCTCCCTATGCACCAGTCATGAGTTTCCAAGGCTATGGAAGCCCCTTGAGTTCTCCAACTCTTATCTTGTTTAGACAAGGTCATAGTCAAAGTGGAGGTTCTCTCCTCCCTTCAGAGAAAGGCACCTCCCTCTTTGAAGACCTGTTCTTTCCACTGGGATCTCACTCACAGAGATCTTTTTGCCAGAGTGCCTTGGCTTTCCATGCCTGAAATAAAGAGTATGTTTTCTGAGCACTTACATCATGTTAGGCACTGTGCTGTGTAGGTGTAGTGTGGAAATGATTAGTAACCTGCAAAGAAAGGTCTTCTACTCTAATGTATCTTTTCATCTCTCACACCAGGTCATATACAAGACAGCATTTGTTGGGGCCAGTGCTGTGGCACAGTAGGTAAAGCCACAGCCTGCAGTGCCAGCAACCCATCTGGACACTGGTTTGAGTCTTGGTTGCTCCATTTATAATCCTGCTCTCTGCTATGCCCAGGGAAAGCAGTGGAAGATGGCCCAAGCGCTTGAGACCCTGCACCTGCGTGGGAGACCCAGAGGAAGCTTTTGGCTCCTGGCTTCGGAATGGCCCAGCACCTGCTGCTGCAGTCATCTGGGGAGTGAACCAGTGGATGGAAGACCTCTCTCTGTCTCTCTCTGCCTCTGTCTCTCTGTAACTCTGCTTTTCAAATAAACAAATCTTCAAAAAAAAAGTAATATGCAGAAAGTTTGTAATAAAGTATCAAATGAAGATATCTTCCCACTGGTGACTGTAACAATGAAATCTATTTGCAATGATAGTAGACAGTGCCCTTCAGTTCTTTCTTTATTTTTTTGACAGGCAGAGTGGACAGTGAGAGAGAGAGAGAGAGAGAAAAAAGGTCTTCCTTTGCCGTTGGTTCACCCTCCAATGGCCGCTGCGGCCAGCGCACCGCGCTGATCCGATGGCAGGAGCCAGGTGCTTCTCCTGGTCTCCCATGGGGTGCAGGGCCCAAGGACTTGGGCCATCCTCCACTGCACTCCCTGGCCACCCTCCACTGCACTCCCTGGCCACAGCAGAGAGCTGGCCTGGAAGAGGGGCAACCGGGACAGAATCCGGCGCCCCGACCGGGACTAGAACCCGGTGTGCCGGCGCCGCTAGGCGGAGGATTAGCCTAGTGAGCCGCGGCGCCGGCTGCCCTTCAGTTCTTATGGCAGGAATTCATTCCACCAATCTCTCCCATCCTGTTGAAACCCGCGGCTTAGTGATATAAGTAGGAGACCATTTAATGTTACTTAGGATGAACTGAGGTGACTGCACAGCTGTGAGGAATTTAGCCAGCAGTGGTAAGCCCCTTGAACCTGGCAGTTAAAATTTTAAAACTGCTGTTCTGTGAGACACCCCACAAGTGCTACACCACAGCATTGCCCCCCCCCATACATTATTTAATCCTCATAATATTACTGCTGTTGGTGTTATTTTCAGATGATAAGAATTAAGGCGGGGGGGCAGCACCATGGTATAGTGGGCTGGGCCTTTGCCTACAGCGCTGGCATCCCACATGGGTGCGTTAGGGTCCTGGCTACTCCTCTTCCGATCCAGCTCTCTGTTATGACCTGGAAAAGCAGTGGAAGACGGCCCAAGTCCTTAGGTCCCTGCACCCATTTGGGAGATCTAGAAGAAGCTCCAGGCTTCTGGCTTTGGATCAGCCCAGCTCCAGCTGTTATGGCCATTTAGGGAGTGAACCAGTGAATGGAAGACCTTTCTCTCTGTCTCTCCCTCTGTGTATAACTCTAACTCTCAATAAATAAATAAATAAAATATTTTTTTAAAAAGTTAAGGCTTGGGGCAGGAGCAAAGGAGGTTAAGCTGCATTTTGGGGCACCTGCAGGCCATCCTATAGTGGCCATTCATATCCAGGCTTCTCTACCTTTCTGCCAATGCACCTGGGAAGCCAAGAATGATGGCCCAAGGACTTGGGTTCCTGCCACCTGAACGGAATTCCAGGTCCCTGGCTTCAGCCTGGCCCAGCCCTGGCTACTGTGGGTATTTTGTAAGTAAACCAGGAAATGGATGATCTTTCTTTGACTCTCCCCCGCTGTCACTCTGCCTTTTGCCTTTCAAGTAAATAAATAATTTGGGCTTTTTTTTTTTTTGTAAGATTTATTTATTTGTTTGAAAGGCAGAGTTAGAGAGAGAGAAAAGTCTTCTATCTGCCAGTCCACTCCCCAAATAGCCACAACAGCTGGAGCTGGGCAGATCTGAAGCCAGGAGTCAGGAGCTTCTTCCAGGTCTCCTACATGGGTGCAGGGGTCCAGGGACCTGGGCCATCTCTTGCTGCTGTACCAGGCACATTAGCAGGGGCAAGATCAGAAGTGGAGCAGCCGGGACTCGAACTGGCACCATACTGGATGCCAGCACTGCAAGCCGTGGCTTTAACCTGCTGTGCCACAGCACCAGTCCCCTCTAATGTAAATTCTTGTATGCAATTTTGTATACTTAGAAATATATATCTCTGGAGCCAACAGTGTGGCCTAATGGGTTAAGCCACCGCCTGTGACACCAGCATCTCATATGGGCACTGATTCAAGTGCCGGCTGCTCCACTTCCAATCCAGCTCCCTACTAATGTGCCTGGGAAAGCAGCAGAGGATGGCGCAAGTCCTTGGACTCTGGCACCCACATGGGAAGAAGCTCCTGGCTTTGTCCTGGCCCAGCTTCTGCTGTTGTGGCCACGTGGGTAGTGAACCAGTGGATGGAAGACCTCTCTCTTCCCTCTTTCTCTCTGTAACTATGTCTTTCAAATAATTAAATCTATGTGTGTGTGTGTGTGTGTGTGTGTGTGTATCTACATCAAATTCCTAGAAGTGGAAGAGCTAGGTCAAATAATATGTTCTGAAGTTTTGCCAAGTGGTTTTTAAATGTTGCTTTCTAATAAAGTAGAGCTCAGGGAGTTCTCCCCGGGATCTCACAAAGCAGTGACAGGGCTGAGCCTGAGCCTGAACTAGTTTCCTGCTACCCTGCGACTCTTACACAGCTTCCCAAGCTTCACCCCTGCAAACTTACCAAGGAGCCAGCTACCTTTGTGCAACCCGGCTTCCAAGTGCCGACTGAGAGCGGACTGCTGCAGCACGGCGGAGTCCCGTAGGCTGCCCGGCCAGTTTGTCTCCACGGTCATCAGGGCCCCTCGGATGTCACACACCATCAGGCAGTTTAAGGAATGCAGCCCCTTGCGGTTCACGTAGGAGAGGTCTTCGGCATTGGGTGCCTTGATTGCCACATGCAGGCAGTCAACCACCCCTATGACCCCCGGCATCCCTGCGAGCCCGTAGAATTCATCCTTCAGAGCTTGTGTGGAGGCTTCGTCGGCCGGAAAGCGAATGAACTGGGAGGCCCTTTCCACCAGCGCTTCGGTGACATTGGCAACGCAGCGACTCATGGAGGCCTGGCTGATTCCAATAGCATCTCCCAGGCGGGTCTGGAAGGAGCCCGAGGTGTAAAAGCCCAAGGCCGCGAGGATCTGTGTCTCTGGGCTAATAGCCCTGGATCGCTGAGTAGGTCTAGAAAGACTGGTTCCTAGGAGCTCCACTAAGTAATAAATGAACTGCCGAGGAAACCCATACATGGACATCAGGTGCTCATCGGTCACATCATCCAGCTTAAAGCGGTCCAGTGTCCGGTGACCTCGGCCATACAGCAAGAGATCACAGTCCAGCACCGTGATGGGTATAGCCATGGCACCCGCGGGTGCAGTCTCTCCTCTCTGCTACTGTTCCTGAACTCTTCCAGGGACGATGTTGGTGCAAGAAGGAATTTAAGGTATTTAACCACCACTTACATGGTCCTGGCATTTATAATCTTCTCTCTGTAAAGGTTAAAATAAAAAGCATTAGAAATCTACACGAGTGTTCGTTCCGGCACAAGACGCTGTACTTCGAATTCTGGGGTTTTCTCCACCCACTCGTGGCTGCAGGACGGGTTCGCTCTGGTTTTTAGGGCAATGGGAGTTTCATGTTGGTGGTTCGTTTAACGCCTGCGAGTTCAACCGAGAACAGCAAAAGATGAATGGAGGTGAGGGCATAATCGTTGACAATGTCAAAGAGGCCTGCTCCTAACTATGCGGGTCACGAAGCAGTTGACGTAAGTCCTAACGACCTTCGGTAAGGATTAGTCACAGGGGGGTTCGTGATCCAAAGCCTCTGGCTTCACTTGATAAGCGCAGGACAGACGTGAGGGTGTGCTCAAACCAGCCTCCCAAGGGAGGAGGCGGCAGATAGCAAAGAGCGAAACCAGACCCTGACCCCGCCAGGTGGGGGACACTTGGACGCCGTAACAAACAGGCTTTTCCTTCACGCCAAGAAATCCAAATCGCGGGGCTGCGGTCTAAGAAGTAAGGAAGTTGGAAGCCAAGCAGAGAAGAGGGGTTGGGGAAGCGACTCCGCCACCTTGAAAATGGATACCAACGTCTGGTTGCGTCGGACACTCAACGCCATCCACGGCCAGTCACCCACCTCTCTGCGGATGCCAGGTTACCAGCCACACTCCCCACCCACCCAGCCAGCCGGTCCGGCCTCCCTCCGCCGCCACGGCGCGCAACAGCGGCCCCGCCCCCTCCACGTCAGCGCCCGCCCCGGGCCGCGTCCTCACTGCCGCTGTCGCCGCGGCCTGCGGTTCGGCACCGCACATTCTACACACGGCTCAGACGGTCTCACCCTTTCAAAGGCCTCCTCTTTCCGCCTTTCTCATCTTCTGAGGAGCTTAGAAATTTGGGCAAGAGGGCTTATATAGAATGTAAATGACCTTTATGGAGATTTCAAGGAACAAAGGATTTAAATAAGGCGTCCACTCTGTAACGAAAGTGCGGCTAATGTTAGACAGCTGGATTTCCCCCATAGCCCTCTTCCTCCGCCTCCCCCCGCCTCGCGCCTTCACCCAAGCGGATGAAAACAAACACTAACGATGGCGGCGCCGGGAGACGATCGGTTGCCGGGCTTGGAGCAGCACTGATCGCTTGACTGGCGACGGCAGCCCTGAGTAGCGCTAGTCGACCTGACGGCGACAGCTCGCGCAGTGCTGAGAGCGAAACGCTGTAGGCCTTCGAGCCGGGAGACGCCGGAGCGTGAGGTATCCCAGCCGCGACCTGTGCTGTCCCTGCGGCGCCGGAGCGCGGACCCGTCAGCTAGGACGCGCGGCTGGCCGGCCCCAGGCCCCGGCCTCCGTAATGAGAGTCCCGAGCCGCTGTCTGTGCCGCAGCTTCGCAGGTACCAACTTCGGGGTGCGCGGATACCCCCGCATCTCTCAGCGCCCCCGGGTGGGAGGCCGTGGCTCTGCGGCCTGTCGGCTTCCTTCTGCTGGACGAGCTGCGGTTGCGTGCCCTGAGCGGTCGGGTTTTCTCGGGGGAAGCCGGGTGTCCGTGGGCCCCACCGGTCCCCGATGGTTCCTAGTCCGGGCTTGCGTCTCCGCATTCGCGGCCCTTTGGGTTGGGTCGTCAAGCTTCCCGGAGGTCGTTGGTGGGGGGTTGGGTGCCGATGGAGGTTCTCGTTTGCTGAGCGCCGAATATGTACTCCGCGTGTAGGTGAGGGTGACTGGTGACTAGTGACAGAGGGGACCCAAGGCTCACGACTGTCTTCTTACCGGCAGTGGAACGGCCCGTGGACACCCGCGATCCCTTCTCGTTGAATGCATCTCTGGGTAAGTGGCCGAGCGCCTTGTCGGGCGGTCCCCTAACTGCTCTCCATTTTCACCCTCCCAGGGAGTTAGCTCCCCATTGGTCCGATCAGTTGGAGGTAGCATTTCACTTTCAGTGTTTCTTCCTGCTCTGGCCGCCCCACAGCCGCAAGAAAGGGTGGGTGCGGGGAAGGAATTAAAACATTCACCTCCTAGAGTTGCTGACTGGATGGGACACCTGCCTTATTCCGTTAAGTACCGAGCAACCGCAGACGCTTCCTGGACACTGAATGAACTTCCCGGTTTGTTAAGTGTTTTGACAGTGCTAGTCCCTTGGACATGGGGACCAACCACACTGCAAAGCTGTTTGGTTTCTTTGAATTTCAACTATTTTCCAGATGAGGAGAAGGCATATACACGCTTGTGGGATAGACTCCTGACTCCTGACAATACTTTTAGTACGCAGTGGGTGATGAATATGTGTGGAAACGACTTGTCATTAAACTGTAGGGAAATGGGCACAGTTAATTCGTGCACTATTTTCAAAGTGTGCCCCATTGGGTATAACGATCAGAAGGCGATGGCAAATGTTGAGACTGAAATTTCATGTTACAAACCACAGAGTTTCCCTTTTTTTTTTTTTTTAAAAGACTTATTCATTTATTTGAAAGGCAGAGTTAACAGAGAGAGAGAGAGATTGTCTGTCTGCTGGTTCACTCCCCAAATGGCTGCAGTGGATGGAGGAGGGCCGATCCAAAGCCAGGAGCCGGGAGCTTCTTCCGGGTCTCCCACATGGGTGCAAGGGCCCGAGGACTTGGACCATCTTCCACTACTTTCCCAGGCACATTAGCTGGATTGAAAGTGGAGCAGCCTTGAACTAGGGCGCATATAGGATTCTGGCACTGCAGGTGGCGGCTTTACCTGCTACACCACAGCACCAGCCCTGAGTTTTCCTATTTTTTTAAAAAAGGATTTATTAATGTATTTGAAAGGCAGAGTTATAGACAGAGAGAAAATGAGAGAGAGAGATCGTCTACACAGTGGTTCACTTCTAAAATGGCTGCAGGGGCAGGCCAAAGCCAGGAGCGGGAGCTTCTTCCATGTCTCCCATGTGGGTGCAGGGGCTCGAGCACTCTGGCCATCCTCTGCTGCTTTTCTAGGCACATTAGCCGGAAGCTGGGTCAGAGCAGAGCAGCTGGGACTTACAACAGGCGCCCATGTGGGATGCCAGCATTGCAGGCTGTGGCTTAACACTAAGCTGTAATATTGGCCCCTACAGAGTTTTTCTTTACTGAGACCTAACAGATTATTTTGTATTTGTATTTTTCCCTCATGAATAGTTATGAAAACTGAAACAAATACTACAGATATTTAAGAACAAAACATTCCAGATTGAATTGCTTTATGATTTATTTATGTATTGCCAAAGTCAGAGTTAGATTGTCTAAGCAGTAGTTCACGCCCTAGATGGCCCCAATGACCAGTGCTTGGTCAGACAGGAGCCAGGAGATTCATTCAGGTCTCCCACGTGGGTGGCAGGGGCCCAAGCACTTGAGCCGTCTTCTTTTGTTTTTCCCAGGCCATCAGCAGGGAGCTGGATTGGAAGTGGAGCAGCTGGGACGTGAACTGGTGCCCATGTGGGGTGCTGGCACTGCAGTGTGGCAGTTTTACCTGTTATGCCACAACGCTGGCCCCAGAGGATATTGTATTTCAGGATTAAGAATCAGGTGAACAAAGTGGAGTTCAGTCATATAAGCATCCTGGAAGTGTCCTGGATGGAGCTGTGGGCAGGAAATCTCGCTTGTATTTTTTTTTTTTTAACAGGCAGAGTGGACAGTGAGAGAGAGACAGAGAGAAAGGTCTCCCTTTGCCGTTGGTTCACCCTCCAATGGCCGCTGCGGCGATCCGATGGCAGGAGCCAGGAGCCAGGTACTTTTCCTGGTCTCCCATGGGGTGCAGGGCCCAAGCACTTGGGCCATCCTCCACTGCACTCCCTGGCCACAGCAGAGAGCTGGCTTGGAAGAGGGGCAACAGGGACAGAATTCGGCGCCCCGACCAGGACTAGAACCCAGTGTGCCGGCGCCGCAAGGCGGAGGATTAGCCTAGTGAGCCGCGGCGCCGGCGCTTGTATTTTTTTATTGTCCTTTCCTCCCTCATTAACTTGTGATCTGTATGACTCAGTTCAAGGTGTCCAGGTTTGAGTAACACTATATTGCTTCAGACTTTTTGGCTTAAGGTTACTTCAAAAAGTTTGAGAAAAATGGAAATAATATTTAATGCAAAAGTTTTGAAATATATGCAAGCGTAAGTTTTTCATAATTCTCATTTTCTATCAACTTTTTAAAGACCCCTCATGTGGGCTTGAGAGTCTTAAATATATACACTTCAGTAAAGTTTATTCTTGAGCAGAGCTTATCTAAAATTTATGTGTGGACAACTTGGAGGTGATTTCCAATGTGGAGTATCAAGATGAGTAAGATGAATTTCCATGAACTACCATTTTTTTTTATGCATAGATTTAATGGGGAAAAGTGCCTAGAGTTTCTGTTCCTTGCTGCTGCTTTATTGAATTGTGGAGATGAATAAAAGCTGTAAGTAGCAGGAGTTAGGACAGAGGTACTGTAGCCAGGAAGATTCAGAGGAAACTGTATAGTCCTTTTGTCCCAAGGGGAATCAAGAAACCTAACTAAAGTTTGGGTTTTAAATCTTTTTTTGTTAAAAAGAATTATTTGGGGTTGGTGCCGTGGCGCACTGGGTTAATCCTCTGCCTGTGGCGCCGGCATCCCATACAGGCAGTGGTTCTGGTCCCAGCCACTCCTCTTCCAATCCAGCTCTCGGCTGTGACTGGGAAAGCAGTGGAAGATGGCCCAAGTGCTTAGGCCCCTGCACCCACTTGGGAGACCAGGAAGAAGCTCCTGGCTTCAGATTGGCATAGCCCTGGCCGTTGCTGCCATTTGGGGAGTGAACCAATGGAAGGAAGACTTTTCTGTCTCTCTCTCTCTCACTGTTTGTAACTCTGCCTCTCAAATAAAAGAAAGAAATAATCTAAAAGAAAAATATTTGTTTATTTTAAAATTTTTAAAATATTTTTACTTATTTGAATGGCAAAGTTACAGAGAGGCAGAGGCAGAGAGATGTCTTCCATCCACTGGTTCTCTCGCCAAATGACCACAACTGCTCGAGCTGGGCTGATCCATAGTTGGGAGCTTCTTCCGGGTCTCCCACAAGGGTGCAGGGGACCAAGGACTTGGGCCATCTTCTACTGCTATCCCAGGCCATAGCAGAGAGCTGGGTCGGAAGTGGAGCAGCTGTAGGCAGTGGCTTTACCCGCTATGCCAAAGCACTGGCCCCCAAGATTGATTGATTGATTGATTTAAAAGGCAGAGAGAGACAGAAATCTTCCATCTGCTAGTTCACTCACCAAATGGTTGGATGGGACCAGGCTGAGCCAGGCTGAAGCTAGGAACCAAGGTCCTCCAAGTCTCCCACGTGGGTGCAGGGACCCAAGAGCTTAGACCTTCTTTCTCCGCCTTCTCAGCCACATTAGGGAGCTGGATCAGAAGTAGAGCAGAGGCCGGTGCTGTGGCACAGCGGGGTAAAGCCCTGGCCTGAAGCACCAGCATCCAATATGGGCGCCGGTTCTAGTCCCACTGCTCCTCTTCCCATCCAGCTCTCTGCTGTGGCCTGGGAAAGCAGCAGAAGATGGCCCAAGTCCTTGGGCCCCTGCTCCCGCATAGGAGACCTGGAAGAAGCTCCTGGCTCCTGGCTTCAGATCGGCGCAGTTCTGATCATTGCTGCCATCTGGGGAGTGAACCAGCAGATGGAAGACCTCTCTCTCGATCTCTACCTCTCT